ATAGATAGATAGATAGATAGATAGATAGATAGATAGATAGATAGATAGATGTCCTGCTGTGCGCACTTTTGTCCACCAGTCGGCGGTGTTTCTATTCTACAGATTCTAAAGTTGTAAGTGTGGCTCGGACGATCTGCGGCTGCGCCCTAAATAATTCGACCCTCAAACCCGGATGTAACCAACGCCTAACCTGTCCGAAGAAAAACGGTGAGTAGAGTTAGAAAAACAGTCTGAAATAACTATTTATCACTAACTATACAGTGGCAAACATGTAGGAGTGTTGCTTTAATAATACAAAGCTCTCACCGAGAGGAAATGCTCGTGAATTTGTTTATAAATTCGCGTAGTGTTAAAGTTTCCGAACCATCAAGCTTGATTTAGTGTTGGCTAACATCAATCTGGTTATTGAAGTTGTTGACTGTTACCACCGCTGTTTGTACGATTATTTAATTGTGTTTTTCTTTATAGATTACGCTTTTTTTTTTACTTTCGTCAGTAAGCTAACTACGGCAACAGTTTGACAGTTAACACTTTTCCACTTTATCAATCTGAGCGAATACAATCACTTCAATAACTTAACGTAACTACAACCAGGCTCAGCTTTAACAGCTCGTGGTTAAAGCTTATAAAGTTAAAGCCATTTCCTAAAGTTTTCACGTTTAAACCCGTACGTTTATCCAATGAGCGGCTTATTTTATTTAGCGGAAGTGTCTAAGTTACATTGGGCTAATAGGCCGTCGTTTTTCTCTCTCGTCTACATCGTTGGTATGTAGCCTGTGCGGAAGTGATTCGCTGTCATCTATACGCTATTGCACGCACATGTAGTAACAAGCACAGCACGACTTATGTAGCGATTGTGCCATGTCTTCCACCGGTATAATTTGTCTTTACTTACACCCCAAAATACATCTACATAGGAGTACTAAAACCCGTAAAAAGTGTATAAATGTGAAGTACATTCTATATTTAGCTTCTTCTTCTTTTTCCTGTAAATAGCCTATAACAATATCAAACAAATTCCAACCCTGTAGCAGATAAACTGTATTGCTTTACAGTCGATACTAGCCCTGTCTGTGTGTGTGTGTTGATGTATGATTGGTTGGCTTTCACACCTGCATACGATAAAGCATTAATTAAGAGTCTTATTACACTCTGTGTAGTTCGCACTGACAGATATTTCTGTTATTCTGTCCTCTAGTTTTCTATCAATAAAGTTAGTCTAAATAGCAGAAACACTACTCTGTGTAGGCTAATGCAATACAGCTCAACTAGGTTAAGCTGATTTTAACTACTTCAAATACTGTTGGGGCCGTTTAAGTTGTACTAATGCGTCATACTTTATAAAGTTATATGTTTGTCCGGTAAATCTGCCATTGCTTCAGGATAGTTGTAGTGGAGTAAAAGTACTCATGAAGGGGTATATTATAATGTTGGGGTATTATTACAGATGCATCGTTGTGCAAGCATTTAAATGTTGGAGCAAGTTAAGGCAGAGCTAACTATTAACAAACTAGTAACTATATCTGTCAAATAAATTAATAAAAGAGTACAAATATTTCCCTCATGTAGTGGAGAAGAAGAATAAATTGACAATGAAATCAATGTTCAAGTAAAGTACAACTACTTCAAAATGACTGTACTTTCCACTACTGCGAAATGGTTGCGTGTTATTTATAGCAGCTCTTTGTCAGCATGTCATTCGTTAACACTGCCTGTTAATGTAAATGTTCGGTTACTTCCTCTCTCGGTGTCTCGCTGTATTTACAGACTCTCTTGTGATGTTTCCTATTCTCTCTTGATCTCTGCAGATGCAGACTATAAAATGTGTGGTGGTCGGGGACGGTGCTGTAGGAAAGACCTGCTTACTGATCTCATACACAACCAACAAGTTCCCTTCAGAATATGTGCCGACGGTAAGAAGATTTAATCGAGGCTGAATCATGTTGAGAAGTACAGTATATTGTAAACACACCGACTTAGAAATGCTCTGTCCTTTTATTCATTCTTCATAACATGCTGCATTTTATTTATACTTTTTCTGTGTGTTCTTAAAGGTTTTTGACAATTATGCAGTGACGGTGATGATAGGGGGCGAGCCCTACACACTCGGCCTATTTGACACAGCAGGTAAGGAGAATGTTTGTGAACGTCTTTTTTTTTCTATTTCGGTCACTTTTAAAACAAGTAGAAAAACGTTTGTTTCTCTTGTGATTGTCGCTCACAGGTCAGGAGGATTACGACAGGCTGCGTCCTCTCAGCTATCCACAGACCGACGTGTTCCTTGTATGTTTCTCCGTCGTCTCTCCGTCATCATATGAAAATGTCAAAGAGAAGGTCAGTTTTTAAAATCTTTTTGTTTTTTTCAATAACAAAAACATGAACTTGACTTTTGTGTTAAATGTGTCTGAGGTGCTGGAGTCTGTTTGACAGACATGTAGGTTTAGGATTGTTTTCATCTATGGTTGGTTATTTTCTCAATTAATGAATTTAATCTCTGAGTATATAAAAAGTTAGAAGAAACTAAATGTCCATCACAATTTCCTTGAAATTGGGAAAGTTTGGCATTTCTGCTCACGAGATTGTTTAAAGATGAATCTATTATCACAATATTTAATAGAAATATAATCTTCTACTCGTCATGTCAGCTCTACAGATGTGACAAGGACTCAGGGATGTGTTTAATATTTCTGATACTAGAGCAGATATGACACCCTTACATTTTTACTCTTTATACTCTTTTTCATTAAACAAACAAGCCAAAGTTCTCAAACATGCCGCCGAAACACAAACGTCTGCAAAAGAATGTTCTTTGCATAAACAAAATTGTCTGAGTATATTAATATTAAAATGTTAATATTATATTAATCCGACCAGACATTCAGTGCTAGCTTTCAGGACCTGATCGTTTTTAAAACTCAAGCATCAAACACATTTTGTTTGGTTCAAAGTATTGAGCCACCGCGTCCTAGACTTGGCCGGTCAGGAAGAAAACGTGGATCTAATCTTAGTATCTTTCCCCCCCCCCTCAGTGGGTTCCTGAGATTTCTCACCACTGCCCACGCACACCCTTCCTGTTAGTGGGAACACAGATGGATCTGCGGGAAGACAACAACACGATCGAGAAGCTGGCGAAGAACAAACAGCGCCCCCTATATCCCGAGAACGGAGAGAAGCTTGCTCGTGAGCTCAAGGCTGTCAAATACGTGGAGTGCTCTGCTCTCACACAGGTATGGGGCATTGCTGAATTTTCATCCGATTGTTAAATTGAAAGCAACACTGTGTTTGATAAATCAGGCTATATTAACATATATAAAATTATCGCTCTCTGTCTTGATTTCTGTTCTCTGCGACCAGCGAGGACTTAAGAACGTGTTTGACGAGGCCATCCTGGCCGCACTGGAGCCTCCTGAGACCAAAACCAAAAGAAAGTGTGTCCTGCTATAGATGGACAACGACGTAACGGTGTAATAGGTGGGGTGAATGAAATCATGAGACAGATCAATGGCCATTATGAAAAAAAGGACAAGCCAAAAGGGGGAAGGGAGGTGCAATGCCATTGAGACTTATTCTAACACA